TTACACAGTGATATAGCCATACTGTTGTATAACGGTTTAGACGTTACCGAGTCGACTTTTGGGAAATCGACTCTTTATTATGAACTTGTAGTATCTCCGATCCGTAAGGGCCCAGATGTCTCTCCCAGTCGATTTCCGTACGTCGACTAGCGTGAGTCGACTCCCTCAAGAAAGATGGACAGGCGCATCGGGGTCTATCAACGATTGAAGATGATCTAGTCGATTTGAGTTGATATACCGAGTCGACTTATGATGTCTCGAGACCCGTAGATCCCCGACGACTCCAATGAACTTCAATATATCATAAGGAAGTCCATTAAGGATAAGAAGGAATCTAGATGCTGAGTAGGAGATGGATGAAATACGAACCGACCAGGGCATTTTGGCCATTTCCAGTAAGTCGGCCGGGGCATTTTGGGAACTTCAGGTAAGTGTCTTGCTCCTATATAAAGGAGTTGAGGTAACCCCAAAACTCTAACCCCCATTCATTCTATACTCTCCTCCATTACTGTTGCTGCTCTCTGTAGGCAGTTCTCTTCATCTCTCTTATACACTGACTTGAGCGTCGGAGGCTCTACGCCGGAAACCCTCCGGCGTTGAGTTCTTGCAGGTGTTCGTGTGGTTCAACAACGATTCAGAGGCGATCGAGTCAGATCTGGGCTCATCTCCATCGGTTCATTTCAGATCTGGGAGGTTTTCCATCGGTTCATTCTAGATCTGAGAGGAGACCCATCATTTTGGCGTCGTCTGTGGGGAGTTCTTGAAGGAATTAAGAGTTTTACATCTAGCTTTGATCTGTCTCTGATGGCTGAGAAGGAAGGGCTACAGAAGAATCTGAATGAGGATTTTAGGGCCACGTGGACTGATAAGCGGCCTCCGCCGATTCCCAATCCCAGGCCACCGCTCCAAATGTTTGGTTTTCCACCGTTCGGAGTACACGCGCCGTCAGGAGGGCGTGTGGGGGAAGAGACGCCTATTACCCCACCTGGAGTCAAGGTCCATGTGCTTACTCAAGAGGGGGCCAGCCACGTGGAAAGCACGAGCGGAGAAGTCAATGGTCACGAATCAACCAAGACGCCTCTAAGTTTGGGAAAACATCCTGGGCCACTAGAGCAGGGAACGAGGCCACCACCTCAAGTCGAGGAGCAAACATTGACCGTGACGAGAAGTGAGATGCAAAGAATGATTGCAGAGGTAGTAGCGGCCCAAATCAAGCAGACGCAAGTCGAACAACCTAGGGTCGAGCAACCCAGGATCGAGCAAGCAAGGGTCGAGCAACCTCAAAATGGACAACCACCCCCTGAGCGTGAACAACAAGCACAGTCACATGAAAGGCAGAGCAGGAGAGCAGACGAAGAAGAGTCCTCTGTCAGAACTGTCAATCCACAAGCAAGGAACGACACTCTGGAGCAATTGCTAGCTCAGGTGCGAGATCTGCAGGCTCGTGTCGAGGGGAGAAAAATGGGGAGCTCAAGAGAACACCCCTTTTCACAACATATTCTAGACGCCGACTTGCCCCAGGGATTCAGGGAGCTTAACATCTGGTACGATGGGTCGACTGATCCCTCTCGACATCTAAGGAGTTTTGAAAACATGGCGGTACTGCACTGCTACAATGACCCCGTTCAATGTCGAGCGTTCCTGACGACCCTGCGGGGACCTGCGCAAGACTGGTTTCATCAATTGCCCCCGGGAGCCGTCAGGGACTTTGACGGATTTAGCTCAAGTTTTCTAAATCAATTTGCAAGTGTGAAGGCCCAAGAAAAATCTTACCTTACTCTGATAGGCATGCAACAGAAGGAGGGAGAATCATTAAGGGATTACGTGGAGAGATACACGCGGGCATGCGTAGACGTCCCCTCAGCCACTGAGGAAATCAAGTCGGGCGGACTCACTAGAGGGCTCCTCCCAGGATTATGCAGAGACTCCTTAGCAAAACGGTCGGGGAAGACGTTCGATGAGGTTTTAGGAAGGTGCGCCAAATACATGAATGTCGAGGAAGCCGAAGCCGACTTTTTGCAAGCGGCCAAAGCAAAAACTGAATCCCGGGACGAGAAGAAGGATAAAAAACCAATCACGGCGGTAGAGAAAAGGGATCCCCAAAGCTAGAAAGGGAGGGGCGGTCAAGGGGACGAAGGACGACTCAATACACGCCCGTGTTGGCCTCGAATGCAAGGATATTGGAGGTGATGGAGAAGGAGATTCGTGAAAATGTCGTCAGGTGGCCACGGACGAGAAAGGATGGACCGACAAAGCCCAAAAGCAATCTGTATTGCCGATTCCACAAGGATTATGGGCACAACACTGACGACTGTAGACACCTCAAGGACGAGATTGAAAGACTAATCAAAGCTGACCACCTGAAGGAGTTCATTTATAAGGATCGAGAGAGAACTAGTCGGCGAAGAGAAAGAAGTAAGAGCCCCCGCAAGAGGGCGAGAACACCCGACAAGGAGGAGCTTCCTCAGAAAAGAGGAATAATTATATGATATTCGGAGGGCCGACTGATGGAGATTCAAATCGAGCCAGAAAGGCGTATGCTCGAAGCCGCCACGGGAAAGCTGAAGTGCAGCAGGTCGAGGAGAATGGTCCAGTGATGAATTTTGGGCCAGCAGATGTGGGAGAGGTCGAGAGACCTCACAATGATGCTCTGATGATCACCGCTCAAATATCAGGCTATGAAGTACAGAGGGTCTTTGTCGACACAGGGAGTTCAGTAAATGTGATCTTTTATGACTGTCTCAAGAGGATGGAACTCGACATCGAGCTTACCCCTCTACACACCTCACTTTTTGGGATTAATGGCTCAGAGGTCGCACCCCTAGGAGAAACCATGCTCGCTGTCGTCCTAGGGGAAGGCGATTTGAGGAAAGTAAAGATGGTGCGATTTGTTGTAGTCGATGTCGAGTCGGCTTATAATGTGATTCTGGGAAGGCCGGCGCTCAACGCATTCCAAGCAGTGGTGTTGACCTACCATATGAAGCTAAAGTTCCCCGTTGAGGATAAAGTAGGGGAGGCCCGAGGAGACCAGAAGTTATCAAGAACCTGTTACCAGATAGCAGTAAAAACAAAACAACGAGCGGAAGTAAAAGAAGGAAAAAAGCCAATATCGAGTGAAAAGAGACCAAGGGAAAGCGACCTCGAGCCGCATGGAGAGTTGATGGAAATTCAAATCGGAGAAAGAGATGAGCAGACCACCAAAGTCGGAAGAGAGTTGGAGGACGAATTGCGTAGACAGTTGGTGGGATTGTTGAAAGAATTCAGAGACATATTTGCCTTTTCCCACGAACAATTGACGGGAATTGATCCTGATGTCATGGAGCATAAACTTAACGTCGATCCCCTCAAAAAGCCCGTAAAGCAACGACTTAGGCATCATGGAGCGGAGATTGATAAAGCAATCAAGGTCGAGGTGGACAAGTTGCTAAAAGCCAAACATATCAAAGAAATTCAATTCCCTGAATGGATATCGAACACTGTGATGGTAAGGAAGGCGCTGAATAAATGGCGTATGTGCATTGATTTTCGCAATTTGAATTTAGCATGCCCAAAAGATCATTGCCCCTTGCCAAGAATCGACCAGCTGGTCGACTCACGGCTGGCTGTGAATTACTAAGTATTATGGACGCGTCGCAAGGGTATCATCAAATTCCGCTGGCCCCCGAGGGCCAAAGCAAAGTTAGCTTCGTGACAAGCAAAGGGACATATTGTTATGTCGTCATGCCCTTTGGGATTAAAAACGCGAGAGCAACGTATCAAAGGTTAATGGATCGAATGTTTAAGTCACAGATCGGGCAAAATATGGAGGTATACGTGGACGATATCTTGGTGAAGAGCAAGTCCTCGATTTCACACGTCGAGGATCTAAAGGAAACATTCGAGACATTGAGAACATTTGGGATGAAGCTAAACCCGAGTAAGTGCGCTTTTGGAGTAAAGGCGGGGCGGTTCTTAGGCTATGTCGTGACTGAAAGGGGCATCGAAGTAAAAAAGGATAAGGTAAAGGCTATACTCGACATGGCCGCACCCAAATATATCAGAGAAGTACAAGTCTTGACAGGTCGAATTGCTGGCCTGAGCAGATTCATTGCCCGAGCGGCGGAGAAAAGTTTCTCGTTTTTCAAGTTGCTTAAAAAGAAAGCTTTTCAATGGAGTGACGAGGCGCAAGTAGCGTTCGAAAAACTTAAAGAGTTTCTGAGCGAATTGCCACTATTAACAAAACCAGAACCAGGCGACGAGCTAGTGCTTTACATCTCAGTGGGGGTATTTTCCTTAAGCTCAGTATTGTTGCGAGAAACAGCAGGAGCCCAACAGCCGATTTATTATACAAGTAGAGTACTCCAAGGCACAGAAACAAGGTACTCTGAAGTCGAAAAAGTTGCCCTGACGTTAGTCATAACGGCTAGGAAACTAAGGCCATATTTCTTGAACCATGTGATAATAGTAAGGACAAACTTCCAGCTCGGAGAGACCTTGGGGCGACCCACTATTTCGGGTCAGCTCGTGAAATGGGCGGTCGAACTAAGTGAGTACTCCATTAAGTATGAACCAAGACGAGGCATAAAAGCTCAAGCCTTAGTCGACTTTATCCAAGAAGGAACTAAGGGAGAAGAGAAGAGATGGATAATGCATGTCGATGGATCCTCGGCGGCCAAGGGGTCTGGCTTAGGAGTTGTCCTCATATCTCCCGAAGGCGAGCAACTCGACTTCACCATCAGAATGGGTTTCAAAGCCTCAAATAACGAAGCAGAATACGAGGTATTGATTAAGGGAATTCAGCTTGCAATTGGTGGCGGAGCAACAAAAATCGCCGCTCACTCCGACTCGCAACTTGTCGTAGGTCAAGTAATGGGGAACTGTGAGAATCTCCTTGAAATTATTCGGTAAAGGAGCAGCGAGAATCTACCTCGAGAAAGGATGTCCTCGAGCTCTCCTCTCCGGCCTCCCCTCAACCTTGTCCTGCAACTGGCGCAACTGCTCCGCCATTCTCTCCATCGCACGATCTCTTCCACCTCCTCCATCTCCATAATTGGACACATCCTCGTCCTGGTTTCCCACTACCATGGTCGGCGCGGTGGTGGCGTGAGATGTGTGGCTCGTGACCTACTACACCGTCTGCACCGCCGCGGCCGCCGCTATCCTCTGCATCTTCTCCCTGGTCATCGTCACCATCTGTTGACTGGGGGCTTGCGTAACTACCTGTGGTGGAGCTCCTCCTTGTGTCGCCGATCCTACTGGTTGCACCACCATGGGAGGCGGTGGCATCGCCGCCACAGCTGCTGCGCGAGCCTCCTGAGCGCGACTGGAGCCGGCATCTCCTCTTGGAATCGCTGTCATCGCTCCCACACCTTGAAGGACAGGTGTAGGAGTGATCGGCGTCTGCGATGGGCCAAAAAAACCCGGAGGAGGGCCTTGCCCAATCGGCCTGGTCGTCGTCCAAGCGTCGTCGAACGTCGACTGCAAGTCTTTGGGAATTCCGTCCGCCATAGCTGAGCTTCAAACACAACTTCTCAAACGAAAATTCCCACAGACGGCGCCAATAATGCAAGTGTGAACATCCTGGTCCGGTTTGGGGTAGATCGAATCTTGTCCTTGCCGGTAGAATGCCGGAAACCTGCAAATAACTCTCACATCGAGGGTTGTGTCTGGTGAAGAGCCTCCGATGCTTAAGTCAGTATGTGTATGAGTATACTGAAGTGAGTAATAGAGAAAATCGTGTTAAGGGAGAAAGACTCACCCCCTTTATATAGGGGTGAAATACCTGCCCTAATAGCTGCCCGGATAAGATGAGCTGGCTGCCCAAGCTGCCTGTTCGTACTCTGACACGTCGCGTGCATGTCAGAGGTGGCGCGAGGCGTTGGGAACTGTCAGAGGTGGTTATCGCTATCACCAAATACATTCTCGACACGTGTCCTCCTGCACATGGAGTAAATATTCTACTAAGATTTGGTTAGAGGCTCTCACACGCACCTGTGACTAGGCCGATCAGCGTAGCGTTAAGTCCTCGAGGTGATCAACCGATCGAGGTCGACTAAATTGCTCGATCACTTATCTGTTCGAGTCATGGACTGGTCGACTGTTAGACTGACTGATCTTCCTGCCACTTGACTCGGCTCCTTCATAGTACGACCTCCTTGACCGGTTTGACGGACCGGTTTAGCCTTGTGCGTATAATATCCTATATCATAATGGTTATCCCCGTAGCTATAGAACGTACCTTCGGGTAGTCTTCTTTATTTATGTATGGCAGTCAGGGTGTGAGCCTTGGCTGGTGATCCTCGTATATAAGGCCAAGGCGTGAGTTTTGGCATTCAGGGTGGATTTACTCCTGCTGGCTGGGCATCGATTGTAAGACCCGAGGGGCATTTCGATACGTGTATCAGTTCAGTGGTCTATTGGTATAGGTGTGCACATGAGGGTTGACTCTGGGATAGGAGATGGGATATTAATTGTTTCACGTTCATACTGCGACCATACCTTTACTGTTTATGATTATTGAATATTGATTACTGCATAGTGTGAGCACCTCGATTTTCCAATTGTGCTCATACCCACCTGTTCTTAATGGATGCAGGTTAGTACTCGCTGGCACGATAAGAGGAGGCGAGTGGTGGTCATGTTACTGAATTTATTTCCGCTGCTTGAATTGCCTAGTATCGTTTACGTTCTGATTAATGTTCATTTTCGGATTATTGATAGGGAGTGTACTCCCCAATATTTATGAATTTGAGAAAACCCAGTTTTGGGAGATTGATGTTATTGATGAACCCTGTTTGGGTGTTGACTGATTTTTGGAACCTGTTTTGGGAGTTGCATTTATGATGTCATTGAAAATGTTTTTTTTTTCAAATAGTAGCGCCGCAAAAGTTTTATGAAATAAATTTTGAAAAATTTATTCTGAATTTCGGTAAATAAAAGTGGGACGTTACATTTTCTCGCCCTCAGCAACTTCATCCCCCTCGTCACCATCAACTAACAGCTCCGTCACTCGCCTCTCGACCTCAGCCTTCTCGTCCAGCGGTTCCTCATGGTTAACTCCACTCACCTCGACCAGTTCGACCGGACGAGACAAAGGAGTGAGGGGAACCTCAAGCTTGTCAACCAACATGGCCTTGAGGATGGCCCGGGCCTCGAGTCTCGACCACCAAGGGTAATCATCGGGAAGCGAAGAATCACCATGGTAACCATCTGGGAGAGGAAGGGACTCCTTCAGCGCCTGACAATTGAACTTTCCCTCGAGAGCAGTGCCCTTCGCAGCCGACTCCCACGCATTGTACGTGAAGTGTAAATATTGGAGGGTTGCGGGACACAGCTTCTCGAGAAAGTCGGGGGAGTTGTTGAACGCCCCGACGACTTCCTTTCGATAGGCGTCGACGAAGATCGAGCCCATCGAAGACTTGAGAAAAGACTTGCGCCCTTCCTCTTTCCCGATCTCTCTTTCAGACACGTTATCCTAAACGGCCTTCGCAAGGTCGGTGCGAAGTTGGTCGACTTCCGCAAAGGCAACGGCCTTCCCGGTCTTTAACTTTGCAATCACAGCTTTCGCCGCCGCGAGGTCGTCTTCCTTCTTCTCGAGCTCGAGGGCCTGATCCTTAGACTTAAGCTTGAAGAGTAGAGTCAGGTGACCTCGACTCCTCGAGGAGAGTTGGCATAGCATATGCCATGAACTAAAAAAAAAAAGAGAGAAGAAAAGCAAAAAAACAAAGGGTTAAATTTAAATAAGAATGAAAGTAGGCTAAATCAAAGTCGAGATAATTACCCGAGAGAAGCAGAGGAGTGCACAGTTAGCACGATGGTGAGGGTCGCGGTCGGCGCAAACTTTATCAACGGAAGGAAGAACGGAGTCAAAGTACTTGGCCACCTCATGAGGCTCTGGGATTCCAAAGTCGAGATGGCCTCTCGAGGGTGACCGTCTCGACTTCAACGGAGGAGGGGGAAGGTGGAGCGACAGACTTCCTCTTGTCCTTATTCTTCGAGCGCTTGAGCGAGTCAGGCACCAGAATAAACCCGGCTTTGTCTTGGGCCCTTTTGCGTGAACCCGACGACTTTTGATGCTGCGCAGCTGACGAGATTGTCACTATCGACTTTTTCGTGGCAGTCGTCTCGACTGCCATCCCCCTCACACCCGACCCGGAATTGTCGTCGGGCTGTTTCGCAGAAGGTGGGTTAACGGGCTTGGCACCGCCCTTGGCTTTCTTGGTCTCGAAGCGAGCTAAGGATTTAAATGGAAACAAAGGTAAAACGATTAGAAGAATAGTAATCGCTGCCAGCCAAGGCGAGCAGTATGCACAAAGAAAAACAAAAAATGTCGAGAACATATGATAACGAATCAAAGACGACATAAACTTACGAGGATCACCGATTGGAGAAGCATCCTCATCGACACAAATTCAACAGTGGTGTAAGAGGGAACGATCCTTAACTATAAGACGTGCACTTCAAGTACACTTATTTAGGTCATCTAGCATGGCAGCAAATTGGAAGACTTGGGTATATTATTCTGATTAACTCTACTGGTTCTCCAAACATTACTATATGGAAACTTTCCAAGAGCAAGACGGATATAGACGAACTTAGTTTTCCACTCAGTGACATTAGAAGATGAATCCTCAATGAATGTCACACCAGGGCGACGATCCAAGCAATGGGCGTCCTTTATGAACCTATAACTATAACACTAAAAAAGAAACTCGGGCGAGAAATGGCAAAGCCTTATTTTGGAGATGATCATGAAGGCGACCATGATGCGGATCGCGTTAGGAGAAAATTGGTTTATTGGCACACCGTATAGTCGCTAATCGACAAGAGTTCTGGTTGAATGGCAAATCGCAAGCCAAACATGATTTGGTCAACGAAGAAGGTGAAGCAACCGTCCGGAGGACGTCTAAAATCGTCATAGGGCCCGAGAGCGAGCAGTTCCCAATCAGAAGAAAGTCCGCTGAAAGCCCTAAAACCCTCGACTTTGGCTGCAGGGGCATAAGTAAAAGGGTTAAGCACTGCTAACTTGGCCAACGGCCAGGCTAATGTTACAACATGTTTAGGCTCGGTAGGAAGAGCTATTATTGGGGAAGGTATAGGACTTGTTCTATATACAGGTACATCTAATAACCTAAGAGAAATACCTCGAGGAAAGAGATTAAGTTGAGAAGATTCGGCCTGCAGGGAATTTGGGCTTTTGTTAAGGGTGCCCGATAGCAATGCTTGATTATATTCGTCCCAATCAATTCCAAATGAGAAGGTGGCGGAGTTAGGAGAATTCCTCGGCTCGACTGCCTGTCTAAAGTCAATTATTTGAACGAAATCAGAGCTCGAATACTCATTGATTTGACGACCAAGGGAACCGGAGATAAGGTCAGAGTCAGAATCTAGTGAAAAGTCGAGAAGAATGATCAGTATGGCAGAACATAAAACTAGACACCAGGGGCTAGGAAATATGAGTACATCGACGCGAAAACGACTACAGGCAAAAGTCGATCAACAAAAAAGAAAAAAAAAAGCTACATAAACTAGGACGCAGAGTTGGATGAGTATAGCCCGGTTCAACGTGGGGTTAAAAGAGCAGGTAGCAAAGGCCCCGAATCCAGGTCTACTGCTCGGTGCGGGACCATCGACTTAAGAGATTCACAAACCAAAATAAGTCGACTTGCAAAGATGGCGAGTCGACGCTATGTCCTAAGTCTACGCAAGAACAAACAACTCGGAGGAAGGCATAACACCCACTTTAAAGATCTAACAGCAAAAATTGCTAAGAATTGTTCGAGAAAATCCCAGAAAACAAGAACCCTTATGAACACTCATATCCAAATCCCAAAAAAAGCGAGATAATAGAAATTCACAGAAAAGATGGTAGAACTTACACATATCGACTTGTCTGAGAAGTGCGGAGAAATTCAAGAAAGTCGCCGGAGAGGTATGAGCGTCGGAGAAGTTGTACGCCTTATTGCCGGAGAAAGTAAAGAGTTCGGAAGTTATGGGATGCGAAAAGTGGGAGAAAAGGAGAAGGGGCAATATTTATAATGTAAGTCCTGGAACCCTAAACCTAGGATCAAGATAAAATCTAACGGATGAAAAAGAGCGCAGAATACGAGGAGATGAAACTTGGAAGTGGTGCACATCATTAGCCAAATTTCGAAGTTCAAAATGTGAAAAGATGTCAGAAGGGCATGGAAACCTACCCGAAAAATCCCAACGGTTGAAGTCCATAGATCCTGGAGTATAAGTCAAGATCCTCAAATAATGGCGTCGAGACGATCGAAGGAGCCCAAAAGTGTCCAACCTCCAAATTTACTCTTAAGCTCTGAATAGCTTAGAGTAATTTTTTTTTGGGGGTGGGGGGGACTAGATGTTATAGCCCTATTCTCATAGTCCGGTTCGAACTGTGGTTACTTGACTAAAGAACGCTAATGACGACATCAGCAAGTCGACTTCCCTGAGGTCGACTGTATTCATAAGATATCTAGGGATCGCCGCGTACCCAATAACGATTCCCAGACGACTTACTAAAGTCGTCTTCTATGGAAAGATGAGTAAGCGAAGCATAATCACCGAGGGATCATGAGTAACTTAAGTCAGCTCGATATTACTAAAAGTCGACTTATCCCACTTCAAGACGATAAGAGCTCCGACGACTCCTATGTACTTCGATATATCATAAGGAGATTTTTCAACAAGAGTGAATATGCATAAGATAAGAAGGAATCTAGATGCTGACTAAGAGGTAATGGAATGCGAACCGACCAGGGCATTTTGGACACTTCGCGCAAGTCGGCCAGGGCATTTTAGGTACTTCAAGTAAGTGTTTATACTCCTATATAAAAGAGCTGAGGTAACTCCAAACCCTAACTTTTCATTCTCTACTCATTTTCCAGCTGCTGCTCCCACTGAGCAGAGTTCATCTTCATCACTTTCACTCACTTGAGCGTCAGAGGCTCTTCACCGAAAACACTTCCGGTGTTGAGTTCTTGCAGGTGTTTGCAGCGGTTCGAAGACAATTTGAAGGCGACTCAAATAGATCGGAGCTCATTTTCACCGGTTCACTCCAGAGATAGGAGGAGACCCATCACTATGAATCGTTATAATAAAAATTAAAAAAAAAGTCTTGATTATAAAAGGGATTAAGTTTTTTGAAAATTGTTGAATCAAATTTTTTTAATTAATATACAAAATTAAATTCTAAAAATACATGTGTGTATATTTTATAAAATATTTATACACTATTTAATTTTAAATTTATTTACATATTTTAAGTTGATCAATAAATAAATAGAGCGATATCGGGGATTAGGTCCCACAAATAATATTAACGTGCATTAAATACTTTTCATTACATAAAATAAAATAAAAAGAAGGCGTACAACTTGTATAAAATTTATAAATAATAATAATATTATATGACAATAAAGTTTATAATAAAATAATAATTAAGTTTTATATGGTGAACAAGAATAAGTAAAAATATTATTTTCTCTTATATCAAGGAATAAATATATATACTAAAATCAAATTTATATTAGTATATATGTGTTAGTGAGATAATATATTTATTTTACAAGCTAACCCTAACATGCTCAAATTTAATGTTGTAGCTAAAAAAACAATGTTGATTAAAAGATGTGGAAAATAGATTATAACTCTATTTTTTTTAAACTTAATTTTGATTAAAAGAAGTAGAAAATAGATGATAACTCTATTGCTTTTTAGACCTAAACGAACAGAGCATGTCAAAATAATACATTTAATATCTCTGTCTCGTGCATCGCACGGGATACGTACTAGTTATATGTGAAACCATTAGTAATTATGCATGAATAATATATATTACAAAATACAAAAATTAATTAGACATTACTTCGCGCTATTAGATATACCTGAATACTATGTAATACAACGTACAAATACTAATCAGACCATACTTGAGGCTCATTTTATGTATATAGTAGATTTAAAATAAATATGATGATGATACCAAAAATTATGAAAATGTTGGTGAAATATATAGTAGATATAAAATTAATATTCATATTATATTGAAAATTATACAAATATATGTGAAAATTTTTATATGAAAGATATAAAATAAATATTGAGATTTTAATGTATAAAAAATTTTGCTACACAACATCATTATTAGTTTTGATGAAATTGATATTAAAAATTTATTATTTAATACAATTTTTGACATAATAGATATTGATAAAATATATTTAAAAAAATTGTTAAGCGATTTATATATAATTATATAATAAAACTAAAATGAAAAGTAATTTTATTGACACTACAAGAAAATAGAGTTGTCATGAAGAATTTTTTTTGTCACTATATCTACAATTGTTGTCGCTATATCTACTATCAGTATATCTACAATTGTTGTCACTACGTCTACAATTATTGTCACTATACCTACAATTGTTGTAGATATAGTGACAACAACTGTAGATATAGTGACAGTAGATATAGTGGCAACATAGTGACAAAAAAATTATTCACTAGAACTCTATTTTCTTGTAGTGTGAAATTCACTTCCACAGCGGCCATAAATTTCCAAATCTATATATATATTAAAAGCCAACCTATTTACCAAAAACAGTAGCAAGAAAAGTCAACACACATTTAATGCATACTTTATTTGGAAATTTTTTACTATATGCATTAAATGCTTGCATATTTACATTTACTATCCAAAAATGATCTTCAAGATTTTTTCCTTAAATAATTTATGCAATGATTTTACTGATATCCATTATAATTAATATTTGTCGAGTAATATTTTTAACCTTTATTTAAGTATATAACTGTAACACCCCGACTTTTAATACTATCAGAGTACGCGTTTTTCGCAATTTTTCTGAATAATAAAATAAAACGTTAATTTTTGCGAAAACTGATTCGAGATGCTACCATGAAAAACTTGATTTTTTTGAAAACCGTTAAAATCTTAAACAAATAAATAAAAACGGTTATAATGTCTTAACCGACTAACGTCGGAACAAAAGCTGAAAATAAGTACTGAAAGTTTTAGCGGAAATAACTGCGTGGTAAAACATATATATACATATCCACAAAAATCTCCTGAACTGCCCGCCAGCTCACTCCTCGTTCCCGACCCTGCGACCTGAAAAACATGAAATACATGGGGGCGTGAGCACCAAAACACTTGTGCTCCGCAAAAACTCATACTAATGTAAACATTGAAAATAATAACAATATCATGATCTTAGTATATATAACTGAACTGAAACTGAAACTGAAACTGATATCTGATACCGGTCTGATCTCGCGACATAAGTCACGTAACTGATAACTGAATATCTGTCGGCACAAACTAATACCGAAATCTACCGGCACAAACTAATACCGGACTATGTGCACACTCTAGTGGTTAGATTAGGCCACTAGAACCCAGAATGGACCGGCGACCATTCCGAGCGGATACTGAATATACATACCTCAAACATGGTAGCGATATTATAATCAATGTAGTACTTAGTCTGAGTCCCCACCTGAACTACTGAAACTGAATGGTAGTGCTGATGCCTGATCAAACTGAAAATAATATAAACAATTACTACTGACTATGCTAGACTGATAATTTAATTGTTTAATTATGTTAAGATGCTCTACTGAACCTGACATGATATTCGGACTTATTCGGTATAACTGAAACCGGCTAAGTACGAAACTAAACTGATACTAATTAACTGAGCTGAACTGAACCCGGAATTTTAACTAAAAATGACACTGAAATTGAGAACCGGGACTGAAACTGACAGTTACTAACTGAACCGGTCTAGCTGGTCTGAACCGGTCTGGACCGGACTGCTGGTCCGCTGAACCGGGCAGTCGGGCTGGCTCGGCCGACAGCCTGCCAGGTGCTGCGCACGCGGGCACTGGCTGGCGGCT